AGTTCTATTGGATAATTCTGGGCTAGAGCTGACTTGCTCTGACTTATATTTAGAATTCACTTGAGCTCTAAATTAACTCTCTTTAGAACTTTGTCTGGCTCTGGATACGACTGTGTGTACCTGTGTTGTCCCAGATAGTAGTCATTCGTCATCAGTGTCAGGTGAGCTCTGGAAATGGGAGTAGGCTGAATAAAAATATTCCATAAGTATAAAATTAACATTGGATTTCAGAGCCTTTAAATAAAGAATCTAAAGCACAGCATTAGTAATTTTTATATTGATGATATGTTAAAATATTGTTTTAGATATATTGGATTGAATACAATGTATTCTTGAATTTAATTTTGCATGTTCTTTTATGCCCTGTTCACGTTGTTACAAAAACGTTTTAATTACATACATGGCTGATATCATATTTCCACTTGACAGTGCTGCTTCGGCTTTTACCCCACTATGGAGTTTCAGAGCTCTATCCCTTCCTCTGTCTCCTTCTCTAGCTATGTTCTGCCAGGTACAATGGAATAAGCCACATGTGGCTGTTTCAATGGAAATGAATTAAAATTAAACAAAAGTTACAACTCATCCCTTCTTCTGTGCTCAGTAGCCAGGTATGGTTAGTGGCTAACGTGTTGCAGGGCAGAACATTTCCATTGCTGCAGAAAGTTTTATCAGACAGCACTGACCTAGATGCACCAGAGTTATGGCAAGAGCCGCAGAGGTAGGTTGGGAAAGCTTGAAGGCTGGGGAAGGCTTCCATGGTGCCTAACCCTGCCCACATCATTCTCCCCTAGCCGAGGTACCTTCCCTCCCTTCCTTTGTTAGACTTGTTTATGCACCGCTTATCTTTTCTTTGCTCCTCTTTTAAGGCCTGTAGCACGCTTATCTCTCTAGAACACATCCCCCTCACCACCGCTGCTTGTACACAGCATCTAACATGGTGTGTTGTACAATATAGGTATCAGTAAGCATTTGTTAACCAGCTAGAGTGGCAATTCTTAGCGATTGATGGAAATATATGACTGGCGCTAAAGAAAGATCTTTGTGCCTGGTAGCAAGGAGAGATGAGAAACATGGGGGGGGGGATCTCAAAAAAGAAGGAAAAGGAGCTATGAGAGACAGAAAAGGAGAAGTCTGAGACAGTGGTGACCTAAAATCTCATGCATGTCACTAGAATCTCTTGGGCTTCCCACAACTTTCCCACAGGCTGTGATGGAAATCACTACATGGGAATTAAACCATCGTTATAAAAAGTGCAAAAGAAATCCAAAATAGTATTATGTGATAAACATGCAAGGCCCATAAATGAAAATTAAGGGTCTGGAGAGGGGAAAAAAATGAAAAATGTCCTCTCCCTGGGCCAGCTGGCTTGAGTTACATTTTATGAGCCGAATGTGAATTCCAGCGCCCTTGTTGAATTAGCAGCAGAATCGCACATTAGTTTTAAGGCTCCCTCTCGAATAGGAACATCATAACGTTTTTTAATTGGGCCTGATAAAAACGTAACATTACTTGTAGGTTCCTGAGAGAAGTGAGTTGTGAAATTGGGTTTTCATTAAACCTAATGATGGAAAATTAAGTATAGTGCGTCTGGTGAAATGGGGTGTGATAAAAGGCATCACTTCTGCATTATCAGAGGTTAATAAGGGAATAGGTGAGGTAAGATGCATAGGAAAAGGGAGTCCAACTAGTTGAATTAATAAACCTTGAAAATCCCTTGGTTCCTAGTCCTCATAGCATCATTAGCACTGGCATTGACATTATTACAAATGTTATAGCAACACAACTTGTTAAATCTCAAGTGCATTTATTTTCGATTCCAGTATTGGTTTTGCTGACACCAAGTTTACAGTCTGTCTAGCAATGTGTTTAGGGAAAATATCCATACTGATAGCTATGTGATTTTGGAAACATTTGATATCGTACAAAATTTGCCAGGTGCCTACTCCTAAGAAGCCTGCCTCTGCCAGACAGCTAGTCTCCCATGAAGCCCACACTTTACGTCCTTTGGGAGACTGTGTGTCTGAAGACACCTGATCCTCTGTGAGACAGTGGTTTGGGTGAGAGACACAGAGCTCCAGGAGCTGACTCTGGTGCATGGTATTGTGGGGATCAGAAAGTGTGGCATCTAGATACTCAAACTCAAGTGCTCGTTTCATCTCCATCCCAAACCCCCTCACACCATCACAGGAGTGACACTCACTAGAAGGATGACACAGATCTGTGATGGCCAAGACACCTACAAGACAGAGTGTGAGTTTTTAAAGAAAAGGATTCTTCTTCAAATGCTTCAACAGCTTTATACTGACTTCAAGAGTCTTTATATTCAAAGCCTTTCTGGATCCGACTCACAGTATTTTTTTAAGCATTGCCCAGTGGCTTTTACTCCCTGTTAAAGTGTCTGCTCTTACCTAAATGTGCCTTCACTTCTTAGGCTCTGTCTTTGTTTGTTTATTTGCTTGGTTTTTACTTCCAATGGTTCTTCCTGTCTTTTTTTCCTACCAGACTATCAGGCCTTGAAGGCAGAATCTGTATTTTTCTCTGCATCACCTCTGCCTACCAGAGTCCTTGCATAGAGTGGCTTCTCAATAAGTCTACCTGATGATCGCATGGGTGTGAGGGAGAAGGGAAGCAGTCTCCGCGTTTGCCAAGTATTACATTTAAATAGCACCAGTGAAGGTGTATCTACATTTTACCTAAAATCCCAGGAGAAAACGTAAGCAGTATTTCTTTATGTGTATTTAGGAAGGTTTTGCTAACATCTCACCTTGTATAAATCTGTATCTGCAAGATCTTTCTTTTGACAATCCATGGGAGATTAGTCTGATCCCAAAGGACCAGATCTACCTTGATTATATTTATTAATCACATTAAGTAAGGAAGTTTTAGAGACTACACTGTATACACACTGACCCTACCTATTAATTAGGTATGACCCAATTAATGTCCTAAATTCAGACCAATTAAATTAGTAGCCCCTGCTCCCTTGGGGGAGCTAGTAGGAGGCAGGCAGAAGAATGGAAAAATGAGAAATGTAGCTCCCACCCCAAACACAAACATAAACAAAAGCAGGAGGATAACCAACAACTCTTATTTGCTCAGGACTCTGAGCTGTCAGGGCTTTTAAATGTGCTAATACCAGAAAAGTGCCAGGAAAACTGGGATAAGTTGATCAGCCTGGAAAACACATAGGCCAAGCATTCCCTCTCACTATCCTTTTCTTATCAATAACTGTCTGGCCAGTGCTATCACATAGGAATCATGTGCTTTCACATACAGAGTCTATGTCTAATGGATTATTTTGACATGAGGGGCAAACAAACCAAAGGAAATGTGGCTTTTGAAAAGACAAGCTGCAGAAAATCAGGAATCTATGTTAAGCTTCCCAGGAAATGAGTATGGTACCAGCCTTGTGGATGTCTGTATTGGTTCCTCACGGTGTCTGAGGCATCTGGGTGAGATATATCAACAGCCACATCTGACAGTTCTCACCTTGTGCATGCCATAGATGAGATGGCCCAGGGCAGAGATTGCCCATGTCCCTGAGAGAAGGTGGGAGAGGACTACAAACCTAGATGGTTCTGCAAAAGATAAACCGGTCCTGCAGGACTGACAGTGGAAGTCTGGCAAGGATGTGTTTATAAGTCAGGTTCACATCACTCAGACAGAATATCTGACATATTCAACTTAAAGGAGGACAGATTTACTTTGGTTCATAATTTCAAAAGTTTCATTCCATAGTCATCTGGCTCCAAGGCAGAAACATCATGGCAGAAGCTATGATGAAGGAAAGCTACTCTCTTCAGAGTGGCCAGAAAGAGAGAATAAGAGGAGAAGGAGGTAAATTCCTTCCAAAGGCATGACCCCCAGTTACTCACCTCCTCTGACAGGATCCTACCTCTTAATAGCCCATTCAGCTATGAAATCATTAATGTATCGATTCATTGCTAGTGTTCGAGCCCACGATTCCATCACCTTCTGACAGCTCTACCTCTGAACACATGAGACTTGGGGAGGAATTTTAGATCTCAACCATAACAAGGTGGTAGGGCAAGAAAACAGTCTTACAGGAGCAAAGGAAGAACAGAGGAGTTTCAACCCAACCTGAGCAGGCATCATTTTCCAGAAAAACCAAACCAACAGAAGGTACAAGCAGATATTTAGATACAAAAATCCTTTGGGGGGAAAGTGTAGTTCTTATATAAAGGACCAATTTTATGAAAGGATGAGACATAGGACCCAAGCACAGAGAAATCACTCAAGGATTGGAGGAAACTCAGACTTCTTTACCTGCAATGTGGTTTCTGAGACACTTCTGAGTCAAAAGTATGAAGAAGGAAACTAGATGATAAAAGAAGGGGGGCCACTGCTGTGGACCCCAGAGCTAGAGAGAATACCTGAAAGGTCAGGTTCTCTGCCAGCTGCTGGGGGTCCAAGGCTGGCCCCAGTTCCTCCCACTGTATAAGCCAAAGAAAGCAAAGTATTAAGGATATCACATTTCCAGGATGCAAACAAGTGGTCCAGAAGCTTGGTTCTGATCTCCAAGTATCTGAGGCCCTCCTGGCCTCCAGAGAGGCGTCAGAGACTATTTCTGGCACCCTGCTTCCTAAACAGGATGATGCCATCAATCTTTAGCCTGTTTGGCTTCTAACTCACTCTAGAATTGGCCAGCAATCCCAAAAGCCTCGAAGAAGAACTGAAGACAGGCAAGGGATGACAACCAACCAGGAAGTATGCCTTTACTCTACCAGTAGGTACCAATATACACATTTGAAAGGGAAATGAGCCAAGGATTGTTGTGTTCATTAGTCTTTTGGTTTGTTTGAATATTTAAATCGACTCATACAGCTATGCCAGAGAAGCAGTGTGTCTCTAGACTTTCTGCAATTTCTCGATCAGTTATTAGTTTCCTGTGCCCTCCTCGGGCCACACTAGGGGAGGCAGAGAGGACAAAGGACAAAGCTCTCAAGATGATGTTCTGCCCCACCTCCTTCTCTTTGAAGCAGATGGCAGCCGTGGGGAGCTATCCCAGCCCACCCTCACGATCCAGACTCATCCCTACCGGACCTGTGACCCTGTGGAGATGAGCTATTCCCGGGATCAGTTCCAACCTGCTATCCGCGTGGCCGACCTACTGCAGCACATCACCCAGATGAAGAGAGGCCAGGGCTATGGGTTCAAGGAGGAATATGAGGTAAGGTACCAGCCTGTGGGGAGCCTTCCCAGCAGCTCACAGGCTCATTTGGGTGCTAAAGCCTTGCTTCTCAAAGTATGGTCCCAGAGCAGAAGCAGCAGCATCACTGTTGCCTGTGAGTGTGGTAGAAGTGTAGTCTCTCAGGCCCCACCTGATCCACTGAAGCAAAATTTACATTTTGTTGAGTTGTATACATGTTAAGTTTGAGCACTATACTAAAAAAGAATTTTTTTATACTGGTGATTAAACCCAAGGGACTGTTGCACTGATCTACATCCCAAGCCCTTTTTCAAAATTTAAAAATTTTAACACAGGGTCTCACTAAGTCACCCAGGCTGGGCTCATACTTGTGGTCCTCCTGCCTCAGACTCCCAGAATGCTGGGATTATGAGCATACTCCGTTATGCCCAGCCTAAAAGATTTTACACATACCTCTACTGCTCTTCTTTTTCCTCTCTCCTCTTTTCATGACCTACTTATCTCCAACATTTTGATGGTTTAGTCACACTTTCTTTCAAGTGAAGATGGCTCCAGCCTCCTTCTCACCTGCTGTAGATAAGCCAGCTGGTCTCCATTGCAGTGATTTCTGGCATGCCTCCTTGCTCCTTGCCCCATGTTCATGCCTCTGTGCTGCTTTCACCGCTCGGCACCAAGGCAATACCTCATATCTGGAAACTGCTGTGCCCTCTCTCTGCACTTCCTCCCTACTGCTGACATTGGACGTCCTTGTCCTCCCTCCCCAAAGCATCCCCTGTAACACAAAGGAATCGCTTGCAGGTTGTGGTTGTTACTTCAACTTGGGGAATACCAGAGATGGACCACAGAAAAGTGCAAAAAGGTGCTTTAATAAAACACTATTATTCTTAAGTTCCCTAGCCATCCAGATCACTAGTATGTCCTTCGGAGTTTCTGGTCTGGCAGTTCTTTACCCACTCTCCTGTGGAAAGTTCTTTTAAGTCCCTTCAGGCCACCATCCTCCCAGCATTCATGGAGAGGACTCCCACATTTCCCTTTATTGTACAGAACTATTTAGCTTTCTTTGCCTCACTGCCTTTGTTTCAAACCTTGCTCATTAGACCTCACTATTTACAAACAAAAAGTACAATAAAATAGAAGGAAAAACTCATTAAGATGCTTTCTTGAACCAAAGAGCAGCTCATTCCTCTAAAGGAGCTCTGCAACTCTCGTAGTGCAAGTGGAATCCAACTGTAGCTGGCTCTGGAAACAAGCATTTCTCTCTTCACTTTATTTCCCTCTCTCACACTTTCTTCCCTTTTTCTCAAAAATATGTCTTGAGCATCTTCTCTGTGCCATGCTCTGTTATATGCATTCCTTCCTTCTTTCTTTCCTTTCTTCCTTCTTCCTTTCTTCTCTCTTCCTTCCTTCCTGTCTCTTGCAGAGTGTACCCAGATATGTTCACTTCAGTTTCACTATGTGCACAATGGCTCAGACTCCACACACTTGGAATACTTGATAATACAGACTAAATTTATCTCTCAGACTGTGTTCTGAGAAATGACTTACAAAGCAGTATTTCTGAAGCCATGCAATGTCATGAAGTTGTGCTAAACTTGTGGGTTCAGACACCTGGATTCTAGGATTGTAAACTGTGATCTTAGCATATCATTTCACTATCCAGGTTTTTAAAAAAATTATTTATTAGTTGAATGAAGAGTTTAGATGAGGTGATTTCTAAGGACCTCTCTGGTCCTAGAACTTTATGAGAGTATAAAAAAAAAAAGTGGCAAGGGGCATGCTTGGCATATCTGTGAGGACAAAAACATTTATATCAATAGATGTGAGTAATTGTGAGCTTGGAAGAATCTGCAGTTAATTTCAAATATAGTCTGAGTAAAATAACATTTTTTATTTACTTGGTTGATAAATTTTGGAAGAATATTGGAGTAAGAGTTGAAGGAGATGATCTCATCACCTCATATCCCTGGATCTTATTTCCTAGAGGAATGAATGGTCCCAGCACTGGGGAGGATAATGCATGTATGCATGTCTATGTGCATGTATGTAGATCTATTTGAAGAGCAAATGTCAGGAGAGGGTGTGTCGTTTGTAAAGCTGTACTCAATATGATGATGGCTCGTTAAGTCATCAGACATAATAATTGGTCAAATAACATTAAGTTAGGTACATGGATCATCAAAAAAGGGTACAAGTGGTGAAAGGCTAAGAAACACTTATTCTAAGAACCTGCAGTTTAAAAGTTGAGGACAGAAAAACAGATGTACTTGAATATCTTGATACATTTTCTTCCAGAGTATCTCTTTAAAAGCATTCACCCATGTATGGTGGGTTGCTTTTTAAAATGTATTCTTTGCATCTGTTTGTATCTTCCAAACTTTCTAGCATGGAAAATCCTTCTTCTAGAGTTAAGCAAATAATACATGTTATTCCATTATTTGAACCTCTACCAAAAATATCTCTAATGAGACTAGCATTGCCTTTAATTAGTTCAAATTATATTGATCAGCTTGCTGGAATGCCTAGCTCCTAGTTAACAGTAGTTCCTGATTAACTGAGGGTTTATTGAAAAACATTACTTACTGAAAATGTGCTAATTTCCACAATACACTAATCCACTTTCTTGGAATATAGCTGACTTTGGCTTTGATCATAAAGGCTCCAATGACATCTAGAATCTTCATTGTGAGCATGAATGAGATCAGCTTGGAGACTTAGTGCCCTATTATAGACATAAGACTTTTAAGTCTGTAGTTCTGCTCTCATACCAACCTGATATGTGCTGTCTAGTGCCTGTCACTTCTCTATCCTGCTCTGCTTTTTCATACAAATGAGTGGGTTTGACAAGTTGACACCTACAGGACCTCTCAGCTTTAGCAAGCTGTATGTTCTAAGATTCGATTCAATTGCACAATCACTTACACATTTTTCAGTAAATATTTACTATTTACTATTGCCAAGGACTATTCTAGGCATCTGACATGTGACAGTGAACATAGTAAAGATTCATGCCCTCAGGAAGCTCATATGCTAGCAAGGGGAAATGGGAAATAAGCACAGGCTTAAAGATAAATACATTAAATAATGTAATAACAGTGAAAAATATTGTTTGCTGTGTTATGAGCTACTCAAAATCCAAACAACATAAAACAATTGATTTATTGTAGTCATTGGTTCTATGGGTCAAAAGTTTGGATAGGGCATGAGAGAGACAGTCTGTCTTTTCACCATAGTTTCTAGAACTTTGATTTAGAAGATTCCAGAGCTGGAGGCTAAAACTACCTAAAAGTGTCTTTGCTACCATGTGTAATGATTGATACAGGCTGGCAGCTGAGGTCTCATTGGGGAACACCTATGGGAGCACCTACATATGGCCTCTTCAGGAGGCCTGGGCTTCCTCACACTGTGGTAGTATTGCAATAGTTGGATTTTTTACTTGGTCACTCAGAGCTCCAAAGGTGAGCCTCCAATCTGAGATGAAAAAGTGCAATACTTTCTGAGACCTAGACTCAAACATAACATTGCATCGTTCCTACCACATTCTGTTGTGTATAAGCAAGTTAAAATTCCCCCATTATATGGGAGGGGAATTAGAGTCCATCTCTTGATGAGGAGAGCCAGTGCCAGAATCTAAAAGAGGATACAGAGCATACATATTGGAAAGTACAATATTTAAACAATACAGTCTGCCCTGGAAAGAACCATGGAAAAGGAAATAGTAAATCAAGAAGAGACACAAAGTCAGGGAGATTTCATTGCTAGATAGGGTAGTAGTGTAGTCTTTTCAATGAGATGATATTTGAAGATAGACATGGTTGGAGATATTTGCAGGAAGGGAGTTCAAGATCAAAATAGTAATATGCCTGGCACATAGAAGCAGACTCAAAGAGATCAGGGTAGCAGCAGTACAATAAGCATGGGGTAAAAGTCATAGGAGATTACACTGAACAAATAAGAGAGAATGATGCTGCTATGTGTCGTGAGCCATTATAAAGACTTGGGCTTTTATCCTGAATGAAATGAAAAGTTGCTGCAGTTTTGAGAAGACAAATGCTAATAATCTAACATTTTGTTAAAAGCGCTGACAATAGGACATGTGGAGCCCAGGGCAAAAGTAAGGAGGCCAGTGATGAAGCCACTGCAGTAACCCATCTAGAGACATGGTAATTCATTTGACAAAAAAATGATTAGATTCTAAATACACTTTAAAGATTGAGCCAACAAGACTTTCTAAAACAAGGCATATGAGTGGAAGAGAGGACTCAAGAGTGACCCTAAATCTGTTAGCTAAGGCACTGAAGTATGGGATTGCCACCCAACAGGTATGAGAAGCTTCCAGTAAGGGAAAATTAGAACAATCAGGAGTTCAATTTTAACTGAATTTCCAATGCCTATTACGTAACTTAATCAAGATGGCGAGAGTTAGCTATGTGAGTTGGGAACTTGGAAAAGAAGACTGAGCTAGACAGAAAACATGGGGAGTCACTGGCATACAGATAGATATTAAAGCCACAGAGTGAGGTCACTAAGCATAAAGAGACAAGGACCAAGGACTGATCCTTTCAGAACTACAACTTAAGATGTATGAATGCTTTCCACGAGTCATGAATTGTACCAAGGTCCTAGGAAACAGGGAGAAGAAATAAGCAGAGACTTTGCCTTAAATTATTCTTAAAGACAGAGTTATAAACTGATCATTTTAATCTTTTGACAAAATGCCACAACAGAGGTATACTTGCAATTATAGGAACTCATGGTGGTAGAGTACATTAACCCTAGCTACAGGTAGTAGGCAGTGACTTTCTAGAAGACACAAAGCCTAAACCATCTCTTGAGAAATAAGTAAAGGAAAGAAATGAAAGAAGGGAAGGGTATTCCAGGCAGAGGAAATAGAACAAGCTGTAGAATGGGAATAAGTCAGGGGCACCAGAAGCCATTTGATACATAAAATATGGGAATGGGTGTAGAGATTATGAGGCTGAATTTGTCAGCAAGGACCAGCATGGAGGGAATGGGGAATACAG